AGAAAAAAATGTGTCCTAAAACTGTGAAGTTACACATTTTTTTTGTGTGAAACCGCTCAGTTAACTACTATACAGGTCTCTGGTCTCGCACCATCTTTGTGATGGTGACGCGTTAGCAAATTTCACCTGTTTCTTTCAGAATGAGGCGAAAAGTATTAAAAGAGGTGAAAATCACTACAGGTCTGGGCATGTTGAGAGCTGTACATGTACAAAAAAGGTTGAGTTAGTTGGTTCCGTAAGAGCCAGCATGCGGGACAGGCTTTACAAGGTTTCGGTGAGTAACACGAGTGTAATGTGTAACGTTAATGTCAGCTAGCTAACATTAGCTAACAAGGTACACTCTCGTGTTTTGTTTTAGTTGCTCTTCGAGAACGAGCAAGAGGTACTATTACTGGTATGATAACAACCTGGTACAAAGCACACAGGCATCTTGTTAAAGTAAGTAAGTACAGTAAGTAAATGTATTTTTAGCTATCTGGAGGGAATACATCAGTTATGACAGCACTTACGCGACTCTGGGATTTTTAGTCTTTCTAGTTGCGTATTTTTCATAGTCTTATATTTCAACAGTTTTAAGACAAACTTTGAATTTTTTGACATGGAAATGATTTTTTAAGATTGACAAACAACATATGTGTAATTCATGGCACAATTCAAACGGGATCAAAAGATACGTTTTCTCTCCATTGACTTCAATGTATTATTTTTTCGGAATAAGGTCCCATGATGCGGAAGTAAGTGGGCGTGACTTCGCCACTCTATACAGTAAACACTGCAAATGATAAAAGCGAGGGGAGGAGCCTGGAAAAAGTACCTTGCGATACTTCTGCTTTCTGTCTGATGGTGTGGTCTTTGGTGAATTTGACCCTTTGGTGGGCCTCCACACAGGTGGCACAGAGGTATTCAACGCAGTCCGCACAAAACCCAGCCGCCTCAGTGTTGTCATCACATGTCATACACAGCTACAGGAAGAGGAGGTAAACATCAGAGGCTGATAGATTACAGGTGGTCAGGTATCATGCTGGGTCTTGTTTCGTCAAGCAAGTTCAATTATAATATCATTAAAATGTAAAAGTGGACAAAAGACAAATCAAAGTACCTTATTACTCCTGTTAAGTAACCCAATTGAACCTGTTCAAACGACCTATGCCCTGGTCGTTTGAACAGGTTCAATTGGTTCAACCATGCTTATAATTAAATAATAATATATCCACGACCCTACACACTAGTGACAAGGCTGCCCCCATATGGTAATAAATGTTATCACTAACCTGGACTGTCCTCTCCACTGTGCTGCTGGGAGTCTCAACTGAGTCCCTCACAAACACGTTGTCCATCACATCTACCTCCATACACTCCTGTCTGCACACCGGACAGCGGATCACATTCACTGGAAGCAAATAGAATCACTCAAATTGGAAATGTGCTTTAATGAAAACATGAGTGATGCCACCTGATATGAAGTCGAATGCAATCCATGTGTGTTAAATGTACGAACTTAAACACACTAGTCTTTATAGATCTACAGTGATTCTATTGTTCCTTGCATGCAGTAAAGATTAGGACTATGTGACTATGATCGTGGGTGATTGTTTGTAAACAGTGACTAACGTGGTTTGGTCGCGCTGTCCACCTGGGAGTTTGGCGTCTCTGCCATGGCCAAATTCCTCGAGGGCGATGGGAGACATTTCTTACAAAAAGAGTGCAGACACGGAAGAAGTTTGGGCTCTCGGCTGTGAAAGTTTAAAGTGCAAACGGGGCAAGAGTCCAGGTAATTCTGCCCGGATGCAGCGGACTTTTCCTCCTGCACCTGCTTGCTCTCAGCTTCATTCTCAGCGGTGAAGGCAGCAGCATCCATCGCCTCCTGTTTTCCTGTGCGTACATCCATTTCAGTACGTTCAGCTTTCAAGGGTAGATCTCTCCGTGTGTAAAATATTATCCCACACAGGTGAGCAGACCAGTCAATTTCCTCATATAGTTCGCGAAAAAGCACACCTTCATTCCCCCTATACTCTCAGCCAGCTCATGTTTTTGTAGGATGCTAACATGTTATCTTCACGTAAAAGCGACAATATATCGACTGGAGCACAGACCTGTGGAATAAAAATGGAAAGCCTCCGTGGGGTCTCGTGCCGCAGATGTTGATAGAGGAGCTCTTTCAATCCACCGCACGTGCTCGTTGCTGCATGAGAGGGTGGGGTCAAATAGCGCGCGTGCTGATAAGAGAGAAACAAGCTGAGTGAGGATATTTAAACACTGAGACTCATTGTTTCATGTTTTCAAGTTAGTAATAATCCTTGTAGCAGCAGTAGTCGTAATCAATGTCATAACATTGAATGACTGTCAAAGTGTAGACTGGTAAAGCTTAAGGTTATTATACCCTTTAAATTGGTCACATTTGAAACACTTTTACCACTAGGTTTTCAGAAAAACAAACAGTTCCAAACGTTTCATGCAAAAATAACAAGCATATCTTAGTTTTTACATTTGTAACTAATTAATAAACATGTATTGAATGTGTCTATTTGTCTAAATGTCAAATACACATTTTGGTTAAGTGTCCAACCAGTCTACAAGGTATCCCTTTGACAGACAAATAACTATTCCCCTTACTTCATACCAGCTTAACTCAGATTTCTACCTCAGCGGACAGCAAGCAAAAGTGCGTGAGCGACCAGTTTTAAAGAAATATCATTGCCTTTGTAGTAATACTGGTAATGTTATTTTTCCTTATGGTAAATCCTTGTATCTAGCGTCCATTTGTTTTTCTTTATTACACAAGTAAGCGGAAGAGCGTCTGAGAGGCCTTTTTGCTTAGATGGTCAAATGGTCATTGGAACAAGGGGCGGGGTGAAACTCAAGGAAGTGATTTCAAAACAAAAGCATTCGT